CAGTCTGTCCGCCGTCCGTAGCTTCAGACGCAATGCGCCGGGGGAGGGGGTCTGTTGCCCGCCCTCGTATCTTAAGGCTGCACCGCCGCTAATAGTGTTTTGCGGGTTGTCGCACCGCAGTGCGCCTCGCGGACGGACCCTGGTCCGCCTACTTGTCCGGTCTCTCTCTCTCTCTCTCTCTCTCTCTCTGTTTTTGTCTCTCTCTCTCTCTCTCTCTCTCCTCTCTCTCTCTCTCTCTCTTTCTCTCTCTCTCTCTCTCTCTCTCTCTCTCTCTCTCTCTCTCTCTCTCTCTCTCTCTCTCTCTCTCTCTCTCTCTCTCTCTCTCTCTCTCTCGGTATCCCTCTCTTATTCTCTCTGCTCGCGCGCTTCGCGGTCGTCTGCGGCTGCTTCGGCCCCCGCCCGTTTCCCCCCTCTGTCTCTCTTTCCTCATCCGAGGTCAGCGGCGCTGATGCTGCCCGTGGGCCGTGGGCAGACAGAAGGCCCGCTTCCCCTGAGCGGCGCCGCTCGGCCCGCGCGCGCGCGCCGGAGCCTGGCCCTCCCGGGCCCCGCCCGCGCGCGCGGGCCGCGGCATCCGCCCGATGACCTTTGCTTGCGCGGGGCGGGAGACCGGCGTGCCTTAAAGTTTTGGAACCATTAGTGCCTCTTGGGGGGGTCCCTGGAGGCTTCGGAGGAAACCATTGTAATCCGTTTTGAAGCTTCTTGGATGTGCGTCGGAGGCTATATTGAGTCATCTTCCGTTACCTTAAGCCATATTGGATGCCATCTCGGGGTTTCCGAGGACCTCCTGGAGCCATTTTGGGCGAACTCGGGGATTCCAGCGCCTCGCGCCCCCCCCCCCCCCCCTCTGGCCGGGGGGGGGGGGTAGGGGGAGGGGTCAAGTTACCCCCTCCCCGCCCGCAAGCCGTCTCGCTCACTCCCACCCGCCCTCCCAACACATACGTAGCACCCGAGTCTGGCCCGAGCCTGAGCATATTCAGCAGTCGTCTTGGGATGGGCAGCTACTGGGGGCCAATCCGCCGCCGCCGCCGCCGCCGCCGCCGCCGCCGCCGCGCCGCCGCCGCGCCGCCACTGCCGCCACCGCTGCCGCCCGCCGCCCGCCGCCGCCGCCACCGCCGCCGCCGCCGCCGCCGCCGCCGCCGCCGCCGCCGCCCCCCGCTGCCAAACCGCCGCCGCCGCCGCAGCCGCCGCCGCTGCCGCCAGCGCCGCCGCCGCCGCCGCCCCCGCCGCCGCCGCCGCCCCCGCCGCCGCCGCCGCCGCCGCCGCCGCCGCAGCCGCCGCAGCCGCCGCCACCGCCGCCGCAGCCGCCGCAGCCACCGCCGCCGCCAAGTGTACTCTGCATTGTTTTTTGACAGGGATGGTGGGGGGGGGCGCATCGGGTTGGCTGCGCATGTTCCGAATTTGGAGACAGAGTGTGGTTTGTATCGTTTTTAAAAAGGGATGGTGGGGGGGGGGGTCGGCATTGACCCTGGTTGGCCCCCGGTCGCCTGGGGGAGGGGGAGGGGGTGTTTATTAATAGGGAACAGTGTTAAACCTTTCCCCCGAGCAGGGGAAGGAGGGATTTCGAGCAGAGAAAAGATAAAACTCGTTAAGCCACCTACGCCCAAAGGGCTGGTGGGCTTTTCAAGAAAACAATGCGTGTTGCAGTTCTTTTCAGCAAGTGCGACCAGACGGGCTTCTCGCGCGCGCATGCCAGAATAGTTCGAACGCCCTTGCGCGTTTGCTGGGGTGTGCGCGGCCTCTGTCAACTCAGACCACGCGGGCCACTCGCGCCCGTCGGCCGCGCGCGCACTTTTCCAAACCTTCACCGCCGACACCTGGACACCACCATCGTCACCGGCGTGATCAACATCGTCGTCATCGTCCGCGCCTTCACCAGCATCGCTACTATCATCATCGTGTTTGCCATTGTCGACGTCGCTATGATACCGCGCCCGCCCGAGTCACCGATTCGCATTGAAGTGCCAGCGTGCCAGCACGGCTTGCGAGATTCCGTTGGGAAGTCCCCAGCTGTCAGCGCCAACGCGGCCGCCTCGGTCGCGCCAGACTAGCTGGACGTTCTGCGCGCGAGCCTGCGCGCGCTAGCGCGGCCGCAACAATGCGCCGACCAGCGCCAAGCAGTCATCGCAATCGCTGCCGCATGGGTTTTGCCATGCAAATTGCGGGTGGGTGGGTGGGATGAATTCGGCAGGGTGGTCGCACCACGTAGACATCACCCCGTGAACTGCACAACGTACATTACACTATTGAGCCAAAGACATTGCACCACATACGTTGCATCATGTTGGGAATTCCAAATCGATTGCAACACATCGATTGCACAGCATGTATTGTTATGTTGTTGGTTCATTACATGTCTCGCTCTCTATCTCTATGTCTCTCTCTAGTTTGTTATCTCTTTTTCCATATATATATATACACACACGTGCGTGCCCGTCCTCAATCCCAATTTCTCCTCTCTTCCTGCCCTCTTGTATCTCGTCGTTTCTGCACTTGTGTCTCCTCTCTCATCTCGTATTTTTCTTTCGTCTTTTATACACCTACTCGACGTCAGTACTGCTCCCTTCTCCCCCCCAGCGGGACGCAGCTTCTCACGCTTTCTGTTATTCAGTTTACAGGGTTTCATCATTTGTGTTTTTGCGTTGTTTTGCCGCTTGCCTTTTTTTCTGTTGTTTCTTTCCGACAAGGTGTGCACTCTGCACCGCTGGCCTCATTTCAGGATCGGCGCTCGGTCCCTGTCGTTAAGAATGGTGCTCTCGCCCCAGTGCGGGCCACATATTTTTGCATCAGAGCGTTTCTTCATCGTTGTCGCCCTTTTTCCGTTCCCCTCCTTTGGCACCCACGCAATTACAAACAGGACAGATTGCATCCTTAGTTGCCTCGATACGCCCGTTTTGATGCGCAATACGTCCCGTGTTCAAGACGTCCGTGTCAATACGTTGCGTGTTGCTCCACGTATTGGACCACGTTTTGGCGGGTTTATCGCGTCGGACCTATGTTTTCAGCCTACGTGTTGAGCTCCGTATCAATACGCTACGTGTTGCGTGTTGCGTATCGGGGCAGCTAAGATTGCATCATTACGCCTGCATCGTTGCACCACTGCGGTAGCGCAACTGTACCCTTGCGCCTGAGTCTACGTAGCAGCTGTCGCCTGCGCCATTGCATCGTCGAGCCTGGGCCTTGTTTCCAATTGCACTGACGCTCTGCCATTACCACCGCTGTGTCCAGCACAGGAATGTTCACCGCCTTGTATCATGTCGCCGTCCTTCCCAGCCTGTTGTGTTGTCATGTTGCTGTGTTGTTCCGCCCTCGCCCTCCCATTCCCTCCTCGTTGGCCTGCTTCGGGTCTGGGGCATTCGAACAGTCATTCATTACCCCAGGCAACCATGCAACAGTCATGCTCGCCCAGTCGCGTCGCGACTACTCCCGCATGCACTCCGTGCGAGATGTCAGGGTAGGTGTGATCATCTCTATCTTGCTTCTCTTTTCTATGCGATCATGAATGCTCGTCTCTTCTCCCTATGTCCACATTCAATGTTTGACCCGCCCGTGTGCAAACAACTGCCAAAATTCCGGAACTTACTACCTTTTGGCCTGGTGGCCAGCCACCTCGGCAGTTGTGCAATATTCTTTAGCAACTTAGCCTGCGCGAGGTTGTTTTGAAGCTTAATTTTCAATTGCCGCTTCAGGAATGTATTGACTTTGGGCCGGGTGGTCAGCCACCCTGGCAGCTGTGTGGATTTCTCCTACAAGTTTTGTTGCGCGAGGGTTTTTTGAAGCTAGGTTTTCCATAGCGGCTTCAAGTTGTGCGACGTGCACTCACCTTGTGCCGAGCCTGCGCGCAATGTCGATGCATGGAACTGGGGAAGCGTGAGGATCGAGTTTGTCTGAATTCGGGTCTTGCGACGTTTGTGGACGGGCCCGTCCGGGATTTTGACTGTCCAGTTTTCGTTGGACCTCTGCAGCGGGATGCAGCCGGAGCTCGCGTCAAGTTTCAGGTTGGTCTCGTAATTGTTCACACAGCCCTGTCAGGCCGACGCGGGTCCTCCAAATTCGAGTCTTACGTCTCCCCGATGGAAGCTTGTTGTCCCAGGCCTCAGGTATCAATTCATCGCCAGTCGACGTCTCCGATCGCGGAACGTAGGGTCGTACTTCTTGCATTGGGTGGAGCCCTGGCAGGTACGGCCGTGTCCTCGACGGGGACGATCGGGCGCCTTTCATGTCCCCCCTGCTCGTCTTTCTCCTCCTCTCTATCTCGGAACCCCAGTGACGATCGGGTGCTCCAGGGGTCTGCTTGGAGCACGCAGCTCTGGAAGCCCTTGTGCGATCAACCCCCGCCCGCTCGAGTTTACGATTTTCGATGCGTCTCCTTAGATTCGTCCGGGTTGAAGGGCTGCACCGTGCACTTTACTCTGATCTCTTTGTTTTTTTGCGATCGATTCGATGTGTAAGAGGTGCTGTGTGGTAGAAGTAATCGGCAGGATCAGGCATGAGATAATAGACACGCAGTACAAGGCCGAGACTTTGTCTTCTATTTATTATTACTAGTATTCCTCTCCTTCGTTCCGTCATCATTCCCGATCGTGTTGAACGCTGTAGCGAAAGAGGTGTCTGCTTACCCAGCGCAGGATACACGCTATCAGCTGCCCACGACTAGGTTACTCTGTTTGTGTCGCAAGCTGGCACGTTCAAGGGGTGGAGCTGCGGCCACCTTCGCAGGACAGCCCAACGTGGCTGGACGTTGCACTTCCGCAGCAGATGTATTGACTGCACCTCTGCTGCACCAGTTCCCAGGCCTGTGGACTCCGCGGCAAAACAAAAGCGGCCGCCCTTGTTGTCTCTCCACTTTGACATCAGAAAACCGTGTTCAAGCCCAGGGGCCGCCAAGAAACAGCCCGCGGCGAGAAAACACTCCCAGTGGTAAGGTCGAGAGCTTCTGGGCCCAAGCCGCGACCTGGCCAGTGAAAAGCTGGCGCTGGTGAGGATCAGAAGCAGGAGCTAGCATGTGGACGGAGGTCCAGGAGCACGCGCAACGCTGCCGCGGCAACCTATGCTGTCCCCGCCCTCGCGGTTCCCCCCCCAAAAAGACAAGCCTTACGGACACGAGCCTGCACGACTTGTTCGCAGGCTGCGGCGTCCTTCCTCCGGCGGCCCTCCTCGCTCCCCACCGCAAGCGGGCGGTCAGAGACATGGATATCGACACATGTGCTTCGGAGGTTGCCTGTGCACGCTCATGCTGTACAAGCGCAGCGTTGGAGGGGAGGGGGGGGGAGCGGACACAGCCGGATGAATGATCAGCTCGGCGCCCCAGATCGTGAGGCCCCGACCGTTTCCGGGCGCCAGGGCGACGCTGGAGGGCAGTACGACTCTTTTATTGAGGCGAGACCTCCTCCTCATCCTACCCATCTCTTGCGTACAATTTTGTTCTTCTAGTCCTGTACCCTCGCCCCCCTAGTCCTCGTCCTCCTCCTCCCCCTCCCCCCCTTCTCCTCCTCCTCCTCCTCCTCCTCCTCCTCCTCCTCCTCCTCCTCCTCCTCCTCCTGTGTCCGTGTCGCCGAGTTTTGAGGTCTCAGATGTTCGCGCAAGCCAGAGTTAATGGAGAACTTGGGATCAAAGGACAAGCATTGCTTCATTGTTGCGATTCGTGTAATTTTGTGCTGGTTCGGACAGTAGACAAGCAAGATCAAACCCCAGCCAAGGTTTACAACGTGTGCGCATTAAGGAATTCCGTCGAGGAGGAGAAATGTACCTTAACTTGTTTTGAGCTTGACAACGCGGATATGCATATATTCGAAGCTGAGCCATTCGTTGAGTCACTTCGACGGTTCAAGCGCGCTCGCCAGCACAGAAAGAGACCGCTTCAGAGTTTTACATCAGTAGCAGCAGTATCCGCACGGCAAGCTAGCTGTGCACGCCGAGGCTCGGCGTGAAACCCATCAGAGGGACCGCGATGGACACCGCAGCTGCAGAGATGGGGGGAATAACTATAATAGTCAGATCGTAGTTACACGTGTATATCATGTAATAGCGTCTTGCAGGAGGGTGACGAGGACATGCCCGAACAGCCAGAGAAGGACCTAGGAATCGCTTTGTATTTAGACGAGATAAGCAGAGTACATATTCATGCATGAGAGTCGGCACCAATGGCCGTTGAGCTACAGCTGAGCAAAGCCACAAACAAGCTGAGCACAAACATCGGGGAGACAGGGTACATATTCAACGCGGGAGCGACACATCACACCACATACACATTATCGGGAAAGGGCAGCTTGCAGCAGTAAAGTGTTCGGCTGGTGTTCGCACTGTTGTGGGAAAAGTCGTTTGCGAAGCTAGAGTGCTGGGACCCAGTGTATCATTCGAAGGCAGCCTGCGAACTGAGCTGAAGTGCCGAATTGTGGTGGCAAGGTCTGGATGGCGAGCACTGAGAAGAGCTGCGGAGCGTTCCCATACAGCCACGCATGCGCAGGCTGCTCTTCCTGGCATGTGCTCCGGGAGCAAGGCTTTCAGGCCTGGTTGGATTTGTGTTGCCGCACTCGTCCACGGACAGGTTGAAGTCAGTTGCATCAGGTTCTTGAGAGTCCTCCGTCGTGGTACCACTGATGAGATCGAGGGGAAAATGCGCAGCGAGAGTCACCAGCACGTCTTGGGCACATGGAACGTACTTCGCGCGGCAGCTGAATTGAGGATGCAACAAATCAAGTGGTATCAAGAGGTGTCGCGGGACCTTGCATTGCTCCCAGGTTTTCGCAGGCATGTTTGGAAGCACTCACATACACAGGCTTCGATTAGGACCCAACGGAAAGCTCAATCAGCACAGCATCGGCGCCACCCAAACATGCGAATATTATGTGTGCGTCGCCCGCATAGGGGCGACGCGCGCGCCGAGAAGTCTTATAGTATATGCTTCGTGGCCAGCGCTTTCTGGCCGTACCGCTCAGGAATCGATATACTACAAGATGGTTGTGCCATATATTCGAGTCGGACGCGCGCCTCCGAGGAGGAGGACACATAGCATTTGTATGTCTTAGTGCGTCCCACAGCACCCCCCAGGCTGGATTTTTCCAGCATGACCTAGAAATATTCGCTAATATTGACTCTCCCTCGAACTTCGCACGGGTTTTGAACGACAGGGACAGGGAGTCATTATTGGATTTCTTTCGTAAGGAGGAGTTCCGCACAGCGCTTCGCACGAAACGGCCACCACACATCAGACGTTTCTTCAGCAAACACTTCGAGGAGCACGTGCAGGAGGAGGCGCACGGAGAAGTTGAATACCTCGAAGGGAAGGAACACTTGCGCGAGTACGTCTTTGCGCGCGGGACAGCAGATGGGGAGGCTAGTGGAAGCACGTTCTCGAACACGAGGGACCCCGCGGCCCACTTGAGCCAGACTTACAAGATGAAGGAGCTGTGCCCAGTGGTGACCACCGCGAAGGCTTGCCCATGGGGTAGGAAGGCGTTTGCTTCGCGCGCGAGCTGCGTGAGTCATGTCCGAGCCATGTCGCGATCGAGTTCGGTGCGATGCGCGATCAGAGCTGTTTCTTTTGAATGTTCGCCAGCAGCGGCAACATTGTACACTGGATGTCTTTGTCAACACGCAACAGCAGAATTCCGACAGCGCTTGCATCGCGCAAAGCAGCGCGCAGCAGGACCAGCAGATGGCGGCTTGGATGATCAACCTGCACACGCAGCAGGGAGCAGCACCGGCCGCATCAGGAGGCAACTAAGGAGGAGTCCGCAAGCTCAAGAGGGCGCGCGGCGGGCGCACGGGAGCAGCCCTCTCGCCCTCCAGCAGCGTACTTCGAGCAGCGCGCAAGTGCTTCCGCATGCCGACCGGGGGCCACGGCGGGACTGCCAGAGCCTGGCCATGGCGGGCCCGCCAGCGGTGGGGGCGCCGCGCATGGGACCAGCGTGCCGCAGGCTGTGCACCGGGGGTGGGCGAGAGGATTCATCGTTGCATCGTCGATGCATCGGCGATGCGGCGCGATCGTCCGACCACATCTACTCCGACCCCATCTAGGAGGCCTCTATCAGGGCCTCCCCATTTCCACGCCGTCGGGCGTTCTGTTCCCACGCTCGCGAGAACCGCGGGCTTGCCAGGAGGTGCCAAGGATGTCCCAGAAATGTTGGCGGAGCTGCTGGGGATCATGTATAGGGGGTGGATGACCTGGCGCGCTACTACTGAGTGAAGAAGACCTACGACCAGGAGGCAGGCATGGAGGATCAGGCGAAGCTGCGCCTCATGACCTCATGCTGAACCCCAGGGCAAACAGCCCGTTCGCGCGTCCACAGTTGGCGCGGCGCTCCAGGGCCAAGGTCAAATGGCTAGTCGAGGTGCCACCAGTGACGTTTTTGGAGTTGTGTTTGGCGATGATCAAAGGCCTGGTGACAGCAGGCGGGGCCGCGAAGATCGTCGGCCCGCCTCCGGGGGCATTCGGGCGACAAATTCATGCGGCGGTGCAGGAGACGTCGACATCGACGGACTTCGGAGATGGGCTGGTGGCAGCAGTGAGCGCGCAACAACTACCGCGGAGGCAGTTCACGAGACAACGATTGGAGTGATGGGCAGCGCGCTGCTGATATTCGATGCCAGAGAACATGATATTTTCCACGTTATTTTCCAATGCCGATCGGCCCTCCCGCGAGGTCGCTTGTATAGCGCGGGCAGTGTCTGTAAGTGGGCGCTCGTTTCACTGAGGGGGGTCGGGGGCGGAGGAGCAGGAGGAGGAGGAGGAGGAGGAGGAGGAGGAAAAGGCGAAAAAGGAGAAAGAGAAAGAGAAACATAAGGAAAAGAAAAAGGAGGAGGAGGAGGAGGAGGAGGAGGGGGAGGAGGAGGAGGAGGAGGAGGAGGAGGAGGAGAGGGGGAGGGAGGAGAGGAGGAGGAGGAGGAGGGAGGAGGAGGAGGAGGAGGAGGAGGAGGAGGAGGAGGAGGAGGAGGGAGGAGGAGGAGAGAGGAGGAGGAGGGAGGGGCGGGGGGCGGCGCGCGAGGCGCGAGGCGCGAGGCGCGAGGGCGCGCCCTGCCGCCTGAGCGGCCGGAGGCTGCTGCGCTGTCTTCTGAAACCTTCGCCTCGGCCCTCGGAGGTCCCGAGGGGCCAGGCGCCCCCCCCCCTTCCTCCCTCCCCCCCCCCCCCCCCCCCCCCCCCTCCTCCCTCCTCCCTCCGCCCTCCGCCCTCCGCCCTCCTCCCTCCTCCCCCCTCCCTCCCCGCCCTCGGTGGCCCAGGGGTGGAAGTTCTGGGCCCGGGTGCCCTGCGCCTCCCCCCGCCAGAGCTCACGCAGTGTTCCGGCGCGCCCTCGTGCCTGCGCGGGCCCAGGAGGTTCCCCCCGGCAAGCAGGCCCCGCGGGCCTGCCCCGATGTACAGTCGTGGCCCTGAAGAAGGAACCCTTTTCGTTGGGGAGGGGCTCCGCGTTCCTTGAGTGTTTCACAGCTTGCCTCAGGTTTTCCTTATGTTTTCGATAGCAAATCGAAGGTTAACTTATGGTGGCCTCGTTCTTTATTTAGGGTTCCTTAGGTCAACGCCCCGACTGTACGCGTTGAAGTTGCCGGCGGCAGACTGTCACTGCTTCAGCTCTCACCCAGCAGTGCCGAGCCGTGAGATCAGGAGCCAGCAGCTGCTGGGGTCCTGCGCCGTCTCGTCTCGCCTCGCCTCTCTGTCCTCGTCCCGCTCCGCCCCTGACGCCTCCTTCCCCCATCTCCCCCTCCGCCTGCTCCTCCTGCTGCCCCTCCTCCGCCGCCTCCCTTCGCTCCCTCGTCCCCCTTGGCCATGATCGCCGCGGCCACTTCGGCTCGGGCCGTTTCGGCTCGAGGCTCGCCGGGGGTGGCCGCGCCCCTGGCGCTCCTGGGCCGCCAGGCGGCGCGCGCCTGCCTCCTGCGCCGCGCTCTTGCGCGGGCGCTGGGGATCTCGGGCGTCGTGCGGGGGGCGAGGAGGAAACGCGTACGGCCAAGACGCTGAAATAGGGGACAGTTTGGATTCGGAAGGGGCTCGATGTTCCTTTACGTCCTTCCGCGGCTGCTCCTCTGGTCGTCCTCGTACACCCAGGCTTTTTTAAAGCCGCAGAGGGGCGTCGTTCCTTCTTCAGCGTTCCTTATTTCAGCAGCCCGACTGTACATCTCGAGGTTCGATGGGCCAATCGCAGCTTCGGTGCGACAATGTGGCAGTTCCCGGTCAGGTCGGCGGCCCAGGCGGCCGACAGCGTCTCGGCTTGCGCCGGGGAAGCGCCCGCAGGAACGGACCGCGCAGCGACGGCGGGCGGCGTTCTCCGACGGGCGGGTGCCAACGTGGGGGTCAGGTCGGCGGCTCCTGGTCGCGCCGGGGCCGTCATGGCCAGAAGTGGCACCTGCTTGAGCCGAGGAGGTGCCGATGCTGGTGACGCCGAAGCAAGGCGCGTCCATGGGCGATGGCATCGTGCGAGTCATGGGTCCTGCTACCATCATGCTCGTAAGTGTGGGCCGCGCGAATATGTGATCTGGAACAATTAAAAAAAAGGCCCCCAATACGAATATTTCAGCATCTTCGAAAATCCGCAGCCGCTCGAGCGCGCAAACAACGCGCGCGGCTTCCAGCGAGAATTCCGGGTCGGTGGCGTCCGCGATCGGCTCGATCGGCTCGAATATTCGTTCCGCGCGCGTGGAATTGGACGCAGTCATCGCAATTTTCCGTCAGTATCCGGCTATGTTCTACTCGGCGCCGGAAGCCACGAGGTCGAGCAATAGACGCATCAATTCGAGCGCACAAAGGTAAGATGGGGGCGCGGCACATCCGGGTGACCAGGGTTGGCGGAGCTCCACGCCATATAAAGTTGGCTGAGTACCCGCAGGAGTCGGGCTGGCCGCTCCAGATGTCGAGCGGGGCGGAGTGGGGGTGCTCGCTTAGTGAAGGGGCCGTCTTGGGACATCTTCCGGAGGCGCGATGCAGGCGAGGAAGGCTCTGGCTCCATCGGATTTGGCGGGCCTCCGACAAGCGCGTCGTCTCGGGGAGTGCCATTCAGCCCCCGATGCCTGCCATTCGTAAAGTACTTCTATTCAAGCTGCTTCGTCTTGTGGTTATGACGCTCTCGCGAGGTGAGGGCTGCAGCTTCGATGCGCGTGGCAGGCTGCCGGTTTCCACCCGCGCTGGGCCCGCGCTGGGTTCTGCGGGCTCGCCGCCTCGAGAAGGTCGGCGCACGTGGCCACGGCGACGGGGGCTGCTGTCGTGCTTTTAGGTCTACAGTCGTAGCCCTGAAGAAGGAACCCTTTTCGTTGGGGAGGGGCTCCGCGTTCCTTAAGTGTTTCGCAGCTTGCCTCAGGCTTTCCTTATGTCTTCGACAGGAAATCGAAGGTTAACTTATGGAAATAAGGGACCTCGTTCCTTATTTAGGGTTCCTTAGGTCAACGCCCCGACTGTATGTGTTTCCAGTTGCTGTTTGCCAGACGTGTGGTCACGGTTTGGAAGAGCGCAGAGATGCTCTCGCCGGTGTCGTCGACGGTCACCGCGCCACTTTTGCCGATGCGGGCACTTCCTTGGCATCGCACTTCGGGGCATCGGTCCAGCGCGGCCTGGGATCGATGGCTTCCCTGGAGATCCTGGACGGGGATGTGGACGGAAGTTACGGGGGACACCGTTGCTGGAAGTTGTGTTTCTCGCGACGATCCGTCGTTTCCGTGGCCGCGCTGGGTCGACCTTCCTCGCCGAGGGTTGGCGTCCAAGTACTCGTGCATATTGCAGCAGCGGGGTAAGGACAATTTTGGACTATACCTTCTGCTGTTCGGACGTTAGTTTGGTTTTGCTCAAGCTCGTGGGAGGACGCCCGATAGATGGCCCACCTATCGGGTGGACAGTCAACGGAGCTCACCAGAAGAAGGATGTCGTTGCCAACTCTTACGTGACTGGGTCAGCGCTTGATGGGAAGCAGACGGCGAAGCCGCTTCTTGTACGAGTAGAACAACAGCTGGTCCAGATATTCTAGTCCAAGGGGTCGACCAGCAAGAAAGTGGAGACGGCCAGCTGCCTGATCCACTCCTGGGCGGTCAACGCGCAGCACTCGACGGCCCACTCGAGGCGCAGCAAACTTCATGGGGACCACAGGAGGTGAGGCGATTCAAGGGTGGATGGTTGCAGCTCGTGGGACTGCTGACTACGAGCCAGTACGCGCGCGCTCGAGACGCACAGGGACTCTGGATGAGGAGGGAGGGGGGCACTGAGGCGAGATTCCCCCGACATCATTGAATCCGCCCAACATGCAAGGACAACACCCTCAATGCTGCATGGTCGGAATGGTCATCCTCGAGGGGGCCGCGCAGCTTGGAGCAGCGTTATCGTGGAAACCTGTAGCGAGAAGTGTTCAAATGAAAGGGCGCTTTCCGTGGTCGTTTGAGGGCGTGCGTGTGTGTGTGTGTGTGTGTGTGTGATTGAGTGCTCTTCATCGCCAGCGCAGTCACTCTGCCGACGCAAAACAGTGTGTTTGTGTTTGTGTGTGTTTGTTTGTGTGTTTGTGTGTGCGCGCGCGTGTGTGTGTGTGTGTGTGTATGTGTGTGTGTGTGTGTGTGTGTGTGTGTGTGTGTGTGTGTGTGCGTTCGCGTGTGTGCGCGTGCGCGTGTCCGACCAGCCCCAAAAATTAGCCCGGCGAAGAACCCACCCTATTTCAAACACGAGGCGACGACGACAGGCAGGGCCGCTGGGTACATGAAAACACATGTATTGAATCTGCAGTAACCTTAAACGTTTCGCCAGGGACCTGTCCATGGGGCCACAACGTCACAACGTCTGAGGGGTGTGCCGAAATGGTCGGGGGCGCCATAATTATGCGAATTCTGCCACTGATACCTTCGGTGGAGCTCCCTGTGGGGCCACGAAACGTGTGAGGGGTGTGCCGAAATGGTCGGGGGGGGGCATGCGAACCCTGCCTCGGAGGCCTTCGGTGGAGCTCCTGAAGGGTGGGCCTTGGGTGGAGCTCCCAGTGGGGCCACGAAACGTGTGAGGGGTCTGCCGAGATGGCTGGGCGGCGGCATGCGACCCTGTGTAAGCCCAAGAATCATCAACGATGTTGGGATACACCTCCCTCCAAGCTCCCTCTTTCATAGGCCGCTACGACGGTGCATTCTCACTGAGGGAGCTGCCTCGTCGGAAGACAACTGTTTGAAGATTCTGAAGCATGCCAAATTATTGATCTCGGCATTTCAACGCCACGGGTCAACTTGACTGTTGCGTCTTGACGATCATGAATCGTGCCAGCACGCCTGAATCGTGTCAGAACGCCAAAAGCGACTCAACGTAATTGTTGCAACCCCCGCTCTTGAATTTCTCCAGAACGCAATTTCTGGTACGTCGATCATCGGATTCCGCGAAGCTCTTGCAACTGATATAAACAAATGTGCGCGGCGTTGAGGCGAGAGCCACATTTTGAAAAGGAACTGCCCTCATTCCGTGAAGCCCGTACACATGTTTAAAACGAATGCGCGCAGCGCTAAGGCGAGCGCCACATTTTGAAAAAGAACCGCCCTCAATCCGTGAAGCTCTTGCAAATGTTTAAAGCGAATGTACGCGGCGCTAGGGCGAGAGCCACATTTTGAAAACCACCCGCCCTCCATTTGTAAAACTGTTGCCACATTTTAAGCGTCAGGGTCATAAATGGTAAGGAAGTCTCAGGCGAAACGCCCGGCCCGCTCTAAAAATTGGCCTCGGGTGCGACAGGGAGAAGTTAGCGAAAGGAAAGGAAATGGAGGAGAGGAGAAGGAGGAGGAGGAGGAGGAGGAGGGGGAAGAGTAAGGAAGGAAGAACAGAGGAAGGAAGGAGGAGACGCGCGGCGCTGCGGATTCAAAACGAAGATCCAACACACAGGATGACGGGGACAACATGCCAGACCCCCAGAGATTCCTTTTGCCGCCCCCAAGTGGTGTCCAATCTCCCCCCCCCCTGCCATTCGCGCAAGTGGAGGACGGAGGTTCGACCCCTCCCAATTGAGCAAGAAGGGTGTCCCCCCTTCCCCCATGGCGCCGATCGTCGTCGTCGCCGTCGCCGCCGTCGTCGCTTGCTGGCGCCAGGGGGCGACGACGACGACGACGACGACGACGGCGGCGGCGGCGGCGACGACGACAACGACGATGACGGCGGTGACTGGCGCCAGGGGTGGTGGATTTTGGAGGAGGGGGGCGTTCTGCGCGAAGGGGGGTGGGGGTGGAAGAGGGGGGCGCTCTGCGTGGAGGGCGGCGGGGGTCGGCTCGCCGGTTCGTCGGTTCGCAGCCGTCGGCGCGCCAGGGAAGATGTCGCGCCCGAGCGCCTGTGAAACGCGCTCTGTCAAATGAGAATACGACGCGGGGGTGAAAAAACCAGGCGCGAAAAAAACCGTTTTTTTTCACCCCGGGTTTTTTTGTTCCCCCCAGGTTTTTTTTCACCACCGATGCATCATCATTTTTCGGTACAACTTGAAGGACATACGGCAAGAGGGGCACACAGCGCCAAGTTGCCGTCGATGGCCGTGGGACGCCGGTGCTCGCGGTTGATCACAGCGCCAGGGCCCGCCTCAAGACGGGCAGGGCTGCGGTGGGCGACCAGTTGTGCGTAGATTCGGTAATAGACATTGAGCGCTAAGTGGAGGTTTTCCGCAAGTCTTCTCTTCAACGGTATCACGGCCTCGATGTTGGTCCGGTCGCCTCTTGGACAACAGAGCTACACGCATTGATGCGTATTGATGTATATCGTAAGGTGTTTCTGATCAGCGTCTCGCAGACGTGGTGCGTCAATGCGTTGGTGCGTTTGGTTGAAGATCTGGCGTCGGTTCCGATTATTTCGGTAGTTTTGGCTTCAGACTTGGCGGGGCTGTGCTCGGCTAACGGAGCCCCTCCGCAGCGCGTGTTGTGCAAGAGTTCGGAATGGCCCGAGCACGTGTCTTGTTTGTGGTATTTTACGATTTCGCATCCTCAGCCTAGTCTTCCTGCTTCTTCTCCGTCTCGTTCCCGTCCCATTCGTTGTTCGATACTCCTTTCTATCTTCGGTCCTCCTCGTCCTTCTCGTCCTTTGTCTCTCCGCCGGCCTTCACTCATTATGTATTATCGCTCCCGTTTCTCAGCCTCCTCCGTTTTCTCGTCCTTTTCCCTCCTCGTCGTCCTCTTCGCCATCCTCTCTCCCATTTGTCTGCTTTCATTCCGCCCCTTGCTGTTCCTTCCTTTGACGCCCATCCTCCTCTTTCTCCTTCTCCTCGACCTCCTTCTCATCCACTCCCTGATCCTTGTCGTCGTCCGCCTCCTCTTCGGGCGAAATGAAGGGACATCGGCAGGGGAAGGGGAGAGGGGAAGGGGAAATTGCTTGGTGACCGGCTCCCAAAGGAGGCGCGGAAGGAGAGGCTGGCCCTACAGTGGCATTTCGAGCTGTTCAACAACAAGCTCTCCCACCTGTCAGAG